ACTTATTCAATTTTCTTCATTTTTGCTTTATCTGGATAAGTTTTATTGCTTTGCCATCCAACTCACTTATTCATTCCTCTGATTTATCCAGTCTATTGTTGGACCCCTCTGTCATATTTTTTAATTGTTATAGTTTCTCATCTCTGTGAATTCTGTTTAAATGTTCCTTAATTTTCCATTTCCTACATTCTCCTTCCAAGATCTCTGAGCATCTTTATAACCATTACTTTGAATTCCTCCTCAGATAATTTGCTTATCTCCACTTCATTTTTATATGCCTCCCACACCCCTTCTATCCCCTTGGCTCTTTTTCCCAACCCCCTCTTAACTTCATAATCATCTGTTATGAAAACAATCTAAGTGCCTACAAACATATGAGTGGATTAAAGAGATGTGGTACATATACACAATGGAATACAACTTAGCTATAAAAAGAGATGAAATCTTGCCATTTGTGATAACATGGATAGAACTGGAAGAGAGCGATATGTGAAATAAATAAAAAAATGAAAGAGAAACGCCAAATGAGTTCACTCATATGTGGAATATAAAGAAACAACACAAAGGAATAGACAAAACTGAGCTTACCCTAGATAAACTTAAAAAACCCTACATAGCTGACTGTAGAATTGAGGCTCCTGGAGGAGGAGCATAAGGAAAAAGAAGCCCAATGGACTGTTATAGAGGATCATGTGTGCTTCGGTCTTGACTGTGGTGTGGTAATAGACATCTGAAGAGGTGTCAACCTATACCTATTATCCATAGACAACCAATGTTACCTCAATATAAAATAATATTAAAACAAATAAGTAAAGGTCATCGGACAGCTTCAAATATGGAAATTTCAGTTTATTATCCACATTAACAGATGTTAAAATTTCTACAATTCCTCATGCTCTACTTGCCTTTGGGTCTCTACCAAAAGGAAAGTGACAGCAGTTATCTTCCTTGAAAGCTCAGAATAAATAACCTTGTGCTAGAAAGAGAGAGAAAGAAAGGAAGGAGGCAGGCCAATCTCCAAAGGCTACATAACTATATGATACAATTTACATATCATTCTGGAAATTACAACAATTATAGGTATTAAACAGTTTAATGGCTATGGGGTGTGAGAGGATGGTTATAATATGATAACAGCAGTGACGCTTGAGATGATGTAACCATTTGTGTGTGGGGTGTAGTGAGGGTCATATGAACATACACATGTAATAAAATAGCATAGAACTAAATGTATGAACAAACACACATATACACACACACAGATACATACATTACTGGAAATATGAGCAAGATGTGTGGGTTGTATTAATGTCAATTTCTTGGCTGTGACAGTGTACAATAGCATGCAAAATGTAACCACTGGGGAATACTGAATTAACAATTAATAGGACATAGTGTGTAATTTTTCACAAATATATAGGAGTTTATAATTATCTTCGATGAAAGCTTATTTTTTTAGGGCCCTCCCTGGTGGCACAAAGGATTAGGACACAGCATTGCAAACTGGCTGCAGCCACTTCAGTGCGAGTTCAATCCCCACCCCAGAGGTGATCCACATGGCGTGGCAGACCTCTCCTGACCCACCCGCTGCTCCCCTCAGCAGTGTACTTCCTCAATCTGCCTGTTCTGCTCCCCACTCTGTCTCTGGTGAATCCTCTCACCGTCCCTGCACCTCTGGCCTGTACCCCAGTTATGTATGAATAAATAAATCTTTTTAAAAAAATAGCATATTTTTTTAAAAGGGCAGAAGATTTAAAAGAACATTTCATCAAAGAAAGTACATAAATAGATGATAAGCACATGAAAAGATGCTCAACATCATTAATCATTAAGGAAATGCAAGGCAAAACTACAATGTGATAGCACATCATACCCACAAGAACAATTAAAGTCAAAAAGACAGGCAATAACAGATATTGGAGAAATGTAGAACAAATGGAACCTTCATACATTGCTGGTCAGAGTGTAAATTGATTGAAATATTTTGGAAAGTAGTTTGGGAGTTTCTTAATTTCAACATAGTTTTAATATTGACCCAGCAGTTTTACTTATAGGTAGAGAAATTAAAACATATATCCACACAGTGACATGCTATGAGAACTTTCATAACAGCTTTTTCTTAATATCTAATAGCAAAGTAAGCTACATGTCATCAGTTGGTAAATGAATAAATAAAATGTGATATACCCTATATATTATACACCATTCATCAATTAAAAGGACTAAAATACTCATAAAAGACACAAAATGAACTAATCTCAGAAACTTGCTAAGAAAAGGAGTTTAGCCATGCATACAGACACAAACTGTATGATTCAAGTTATCTGAAATAAATGCCCAGAAAAAAACCTATAGACACAGAAATTAGATTAATTGGTAAGAAAGGGCATGGCTGGAAATGGGACAGTTAACTCTTTTGGATATGAGAGAAATGATCTAAACTAATTTGTGCTAATAACTGTACAAGTCTATAAATTTTCTAGTCACTGAATCATATGCTTAAATAAAGAGTCTTTTAAACGGTACACTTCTTTTTGACTATTTTAAGGTTGAGCCACCCCTCAATTAAACCCATGACCTTCCAAATCTTGGCTCCATCCATCAGATGGGAGAATTACCCCCTTGCCCTGCTTAGCATTCCAAAAAGTTAAGTGGCCCGATTTCTTCTCTACCCCTGTTTCCTCTGCTAGCTTAATACAAATTCTCCTAATTTAACAAAACAAATTGCCTTTGAAATACATGCCTTTTGGGCACAATATATGCAGGAAAAGAGATGAGTGATTTGACTAGACTTGTGAGTTTCTTTAAGCATAGCAGTCACCTTTGTCCTTTTGACATCTGACTAAATGCAGGGGCTTCTTTACACTTTTTGACAAGTGGAAACTCCCCCTTCCTCTCCTTCTACTCCATAGCCATCACCCCTTCACTTTTACCATGGTGTCACACTTCACTTTGCACTTGCCACAGGTCTATCCCTTATATTCCTTTCCCTTTCTCACCTTCAAATGCTCCTCCTTGACCTAATCCTGAGTGATGAAGGAGAAACCGCCATTTAGGCAATAGTCAGTAAAATCCTTTAAGCAATACCTTAGTGGATATTTACGGATAATATATTTGGAAATTTTTCAGAACTGATGCTGAATACTTTATCGGACCTTAAGTCTAAGGTATTTCACTCCCATAAATATTTTTGACACATTATTTATCAATAGCTAAGATAAAAGATCTAGCAAGAAGCAGTTGTAAAATATTTTCAGGTTCCACCTTTCATTATAATTTCTCTCTAGTAGATACGATACTCTACGTGATAAAAAAAAATAGATTTTGTTGCTTATTGTGTTAGTTTATTTTAAACGTTCCTAAATAATCAAGTTGTTGAGTACTACAAAGGAATGTTTTCACTTTAATAACACAAACTCTCTGATAATGATAATGGCTTGGTCAGTGCCTCATACAGAACCAGTTTCTTCCTCACACACACTAAATGCTTTGTTTACACTGCTATGTTCTCAATGTAATACTCATCCTAATTAAAGGTGTGGCTATCTCTGTTTCCTCAATCTCATCATCTAATTGGGATATAGCTGTCTGTCATATAGCAGAAAGAGAAGTTAGGCTTAAATTAGATTACCTGGATTATGGTGTTTTACTACTTAGCATTTGTGTAACTTTACTGTCTCAGTGATCCCTGAATTAAGACAGAATTTTGTGCCACTGCCAAATGTAAAAGAGTTTGAGCCATGGTTTGGAAACTCAAAATATGTAAACTCTACCACATTTTTTGGTGTGTGTGGAGCAGACATGATGGAATATTTGAAATAGAACATTTTGGACAAAAGGTCAGTACAAATCTTAATAAATTACTTAAACTTTCTAAGACTGTTTTGTCATTTATTAGATATGATGGTGCTTACCTCAGAATTGTTTAAGGCTAACTGAGATATTATATGTAATATAGTCTAGTTCAGTGTAAATAAAATGAATGATTTTTTTTTATTTCCTTGGATTGGAGTGTTCCCTCCACCTCATCTATTCCTCCCTCCTTAAAACACACACACACAACTCTCCAAAATTCAAATATTTTTCAAGAAACAGCCCAAAAGGCAACACTCTGCAAATCAACTTTTGAACCAACTTCTGTCAGTATGGCCCTTTATTTAACAGCACCGATCTTTTGAAATCAGAACAGCCGCCCAAGTTTAAAAGGAACCCTGCTATTTAGTAGCTCCATGACCTTGAACAAGTGACTTATCCTCTCTGCTTCTAGGTTTCCCGTCTGTGAAAACCTTACAGGGTTTTGAGTTTGTTCGTTCGTTTGTTTGTTTTTAAACGTACTTATTTTTCCTTACATTGTTTCTAATTTTTGGACAGATTTGATTTCTCCCCGCAGGTGTAGTCCCGGTAGTTTGCCCACCACCATAGCAGCGAGATCCAGCACCACTGTCGCTCCTGCTCTGCCCTCCTGTTTTGACCCCTTCCCCTCCTGGGTTTTAAGTATTAAATGAGATATGCACGTATAGGGCTTAGCTCAGTCCCTGACATTTAGCAAATGCTCTACAAGTATTACATATTAGAAGTGGTAATGGAGACTTTTCGGTAAACGTCGATTAAAATGCTTACCCTGCTTCCCAGGGTTGTAGCAAAGTCATAATGCAAAATTGTTCAAACTGCAAAGCTGAACAAAAGTGAGGCTTACCTATGAGATATTTGGGGCAACGTTCTAACCTCGCTTTCATAGCATATGCTTTCCCTGTACTGGAGGGGAGTCCCAGGACCCACTATTGGTTAAAAGGGGAAAAAACAACAGACACATCTCCCGATACAAGCAGCAGAATCCCCACGAGCAGAATTCGGTTCAGCACCCTCAGACCGGACCTCGATAATTCCCTGGAGTTCACCTCCACCGCCCCCTTCCCCCAGAGCCGCGCAAGCGTACACAGATTTTGCGCCTCTCCCTCCTGCTCCCGCCTCTACCAGTCCCCCGGCACCCCTCCCTCGCCGTCCACCCCAACACGCACGCGCGTCTCCTCTAAGCCTGTCCCTACCCGACTCCTCTTTCTCTTTATTCCGTGTTCCCTCATCTTCCAGCACCTCGGCAAGTTCAAACTCTACTCCTTGCGGGTGGCGGCGAACGAGAGGTCACGTGATGAGCATCCTGCTGCCCAACATGGCGGAGTTCGACACCATCTCAGAACTGGAGGAGGAGGAGGAAGAAGCGGCAACGTCGTCGTCGTCGCCGTCGTCGTCGTCGTCGTCGGTGTCTGGGCCTGACGATGACGAGGAAGATGAGGAGGAAGAGGAGGAAGAGGAAGAGGAGGAAGAGGAAGAAGACGAGGAAGAGGAGACACCGCCCCCGCCTCGGGTAGTGAGTGAGGAGCATCTGCGGAGATATGCCCCGGACCCAGTATTAGTGCGGGGTGCCGGCCACATCACTGTGTAAGTGAAAAGGGGCTGTGGGGTTCCCAAAGACTGCGATTTGGCCGCAGAAGGATGAGATAGTGATCGAGGGGGGCTGTGGCTTGGGGGAACACTGACTGACGCTGTACCCGACTCCACTTGCCAGTGCTCGGGCCCTCGTGCCAGGTGTGCTGTCCCTCCCAGCTTCAAAATTCTGGCCTCGAGGAGTGTGCAGTAGTATTCGTAAACCCGTGATATTAACTGAAAGAAGCCAGAGCCTACAATTAAGAAAGGGCACCTGTTCTAAATAGAGCCACCCGGGGAGATAGGTGTAAAGGAAGTAAGGAGAATGCAAATGTGATGCACCAACGCTTCAAGAATGAGTTTAGGACAAGGAAGTTAGGGGGTTGGGAGCCAATGGCATTGGAATTGGGGTGAGTCTCCTTGCTTCTGTGTGTACTCGCAAGCGAATAGTCCTTAAACTGCAGGATGTATTTATTAAAGGAGTCTTTGTTGTTAAGATCGGTGTCTAGTGGAGCACGGAAACTGCTGTGAAATGTGACAGGACAGGCTTGGGTTTTTCAAAACAAACGTGATATATTTCGTGAATAATATAGAATATCCACCCACCCACGTATTCATCCATTCTTACTCTCTGATCCTTATGTGAATGAATACAATGATCCCGTGGATGCTTTGGTCACTTCTTACTTTGACCTTCCTGAAATCTACAATTAGACATTCAGGTTGGGAGGAAGCTATGAAAAGTAAAACAAATGGATTGAGAGTGAGGGTGCCTGGATGCTCGTCTCAGCTGTTTCTTTCTGGCCCTATGACCTTGGTCAGGTTACTTCCCATTTCTGGGCCTTGATTTCTCTACATGTAAAATAAGGAGTCTGGGCCAGTTGGTTTCTAAAACCTTTCAGCTCTGAGATAATTTAAGATACCTCTGGGAGATTTTGTATGCCCAAACATTAAATATGCAAACATTAAATATATGTGGAAATTAGTCCCTAAGGAGCTGAGGAAGATTTCTTGAAAATCTATCCAGAGTGACTTTTCTTAAAAATTGAAATCTTGATCCTACTTAAGAAAATAAAAGGTGGAAGGAGCTCAGTAGTTGCAAAACAAAAGAAAAATTTAGTATTCTCTGGGCTTTGTAGAGTGCTTTCTCTTTTTATGTGCTTAAACTAAATACTTGGAACTTTCATTATTATGTCATGTTCATCCTCTTAACTATGGAGATTGTACTGCATTTTCAAAATAGGACTATTTCCTGTTAAGTCATATTGCCTGTAATTTTGATATTGGCTCTCCTAGCCCCTTTGACTTTCAATTGAGCACATTTTACCGGAAATCACCCCCTTAAAGTGTACACCCCCTCCCCATCATATTACCTTTTAAGTTTGACGTGTTGAGTATTTTGATTGTAATTTTTCGTGTGATCTTTGCATGAGTGTACTAAGAAAGATTTTGAAATTGTGGAAGAGTTTTGGGAGATTTTCAGACCTGCTTTTTATTAGGCAATTTTAACACGATTTTTCTTGGTGCAAGAATTTTGCAGATAGCCTACAATGTTCAGATGCCAGCTTACTGCGCTGTTTTACTTCCATTCCTTTCATCACTAGGGAGACAGTTTATTACTCAAACTAATTATAATTCTAGCACCAAAGGTTATTTTCATGCAGACTATTTCCTATGCCTGAACAACAACAACAACAAAGGGTTTTTTTTTTTATTCCAGTCCATAATTTCAGACACCAATACATTATTTTCTAAAATTCAGAAAACAAAAAAGAAGCAAGGAAACAATTTAAGTTCTGTGAAACACTTTTGTTTGTTTCCATGCTACTCTTCACACAACTGTGGTGAAGTGCTTACCAACCTACTTTCAGATAAAAGCAAAACACTGACACTTGCCATGCTCAGGCCCTTATGATAGATGTGATGTCCCTTCCAGCTTAAACATTCTGGAATCCCAAATGAGCAGTAGAATTCATAAATTCTGGTAGTAATTGTTGGTACTAACTCAATAAAACCAAAACTTGAGAAGTAGTAAACCAGTTCTTGAATTGCTAACCAGTGTATATAGTTTAGAAAATTATTTACTTGGATTGTACATATTCTGTCACATAGAAAGTACATTTGATGTTAAATATCTAAGTTTTTTTAAAGATTTATTTATTTATGCATACAGAACTGGGGTGCAAGCCAGAGGTGCAGGGGCAGTGAGAGGATTCACCAGAGACAGAGTGGGGAGCAGAACAGGCAGATCAATGAAGTACACTGCTGAGGGGAGCAGCAGGCAGGTCAGGAGAGGTCTGCCACACCACGTGGATCACCTCCAGGGCCAGGAATCTTACTGGCACTGAAACGGCTGCACTAGCTTGTAGTGCTGCCTCCTAACCCATTGAGCCACCAGGGAGGGCCAAATGTCTTAAGATTCTGAAAAAAGAAAGTTACTGGGTCCGAGAAACGGATCTTTCAATGATAGTAAAACCTGATCTTAGGTAAAGTAAGATCAAATGTCAGAGTCTAGTTAATCTTTTCTGGGAGTATTAGTGTTCCTGTATCTAAAAATATTTCTTGTTCTCTCCGACCCTTACTTTCTCCCATGTCTGTGCAATCTTCTTTTCTATAGAGAACTTTGTTTCTTTCCAAAGTTTAAAATTGGAGAACCATCAGCTCAAGCAGTATACCTTAAACCCCTATTTTCCCTCTCCAAATTACCTCCACATACTGAACTGTGCATTCCAGTTGCCCCATTTCTGACCCTGATACTTTCATCCTAATCTTCCAGGGCATTACTTCAAATCCTTGAGTCATTTTAACTTTTTCTTCTCCTTGAATTGCCTATGTCCCTTCTGTCCAGAATTATGTCATCACATCATTTGAAATGTTTATTAGATTTTCATTTTCTCCATTCCTCCTGTAGGTACCACTCTAGTTTGGGTTGCCGTTACCTCCTGTTTGCATTGTTGCCAAGGTCTGCCACTTGTCCATATTCACATCCTCCTGCGTATTTGTGCCAAACTAATTTCTTAAAACACAGTTTAATCAAGTCACTTTCCTGCTGAAAAGACTGCATTGGATCTAAAATAGGTCTGAATTCTTGATTTCTTCCTCCAACTTCAAAGGTCAGTGAGCCACTCCACTCACTAGTCCATTGCTCACCCCTCCACTTGCATCTTCCACACACTTCTCTCCTAACTACCTAGAACTTGCCTCATCATGCCACTCCCTTCTCTGTAATATTTTCTCCCTCCCCCTTTCTACAGGCTCAGCCTGTAAACATTTTCAGAGTCTCTAATTCTATAAAACAAAAGTCCTTCCTAGAGCTACTTCTTCCTCCTCCGGTTTTCTTAAGAGTAGCTGCACTCACCATATCTATTTCCTCTTTGCACCTCTGTAATCTGGATTCTGTCACCATGACCATTAAGGTCACCCTCTTGCTAAGTTAGTGGGCATCTTTCATTACTATCTTTTTGGTCTTCTCACTGCATATGACACTTATAAAGACTCTTCTTTCTTGGAGAATTCCTCTTCAGGGGTCATGAACACACAGGCCTTCAGAATTGAGACAGGCCCGAGAAAATAGTGCAGCATGAATAATTATGGGGCCTTGATTGAAATGGAAGGTATATGCCAAAACTATTCAAATTCTGATTTTAAAAAAAAAAAAGCTTTTCCAGTCAAATAAATATAGGAATTCCTTGGCCACTTCACTTCTCTTCTTCTTCTTCTTCTTCTCTCTCTCTCCCCCCACCCCTATGTTTATTGCAGCACAATCTACAGTAGAGAAGCTATGGAAGCAACACAGGTGCCCAGAAATAGATAACTGGATCAAGAAGATGTGGTATATTTACACAGTGGAATATTACTCAGCAAACAAAATGGATAAACTCATGCCCTTCGCAGCAACATAGATGGAGCTAGAAGGGATTATGCTCAGTGAAATAAGCCAGAAAAATATCAAATGGTCTCATTTATAGAAGGAATGTAGAGAAGCCAAATAATTCGAAAAAAATAATAACTATAATAAAGTAAAAATCAAAATCATCAGACACATCAAAACTATTCTATAGGGGAGGAGGAGGGTGGTCCAGGACAGAAGTGGGAAGAGCACAAGGGACGATGGTGCCCGGGTGAACTGGTTGTGGGAATTTCACGGGGAAATCATGCAGTGTACAAAAATGAAGGATGATTTAATGAATATATTTTTTTAATTTTTAATAAAAATAAATATTGGGGGCCCTCCTGGTGGCGCAGCAGGTTAAAGCCCAGCACTAAGAAGCTTAAGCCACTTCTGCATGAGTTCTATTCCCGCCTCCCCCGGAGGTGACCACATGGAGCGGCAGACCTCTCTTGACCCGCCTGCTGCTCCCCTCAGCAGTGTACTTCGTCGATCTGCCTGTTCTGCTCCCCACTCTGTCTCTGGTAAATCCTCTCACCCTCCGCATCTCTGGCATGTACCCCAGTTCTGTATGAATAAATTTTAAAATAAATAAATATTGGTTGAATAGTACTATGTATTGCTGAGCATAGATATATACATGGATATAATAATATCACTAGGCCCAGTGATGGGATTATGACATGACCTTAACTCTAGAAGTTTTATCAAGCAAGCCCTTAGGAGTCAGAATACCCCTGTTTACTCGTATCATCTTAACATCTTAACATACTGGCTTTCTAGTTTATTTAACAACATATTAACTTTTTTTTTTAAGATTTATTTATTTATTCATATAGAGCTGGGGTACAGGCCAGAGATGCGGAGGGTGAGAGGATTCACCAGAGACAGAGTGGGGTGCAGAACAGGCAGATCGACGAAGTACACTGCTGAGGGGAGCAGCGGGCGGGTCAGGAGAGGTCTGCCTCGCCATGTGGATCTCCTCCGGAGCAGGCGGGAATTGAACTCATGCAGAAGTGGCTTAAGCTTCTTAGTGCTGTGCTTTAACCCGCTGAGCCACCAGGGAGGGCCCATATTAACTTTTTAATGTGAAATTAATTATAATGTCTTAAGAAGTAGAATGACC